TCATAGACAAAAATGCTAAAATAACGGACTTTAATTGCTAAACTAGGAATTACAAAAAGAATAAGAGGCCTTTTCACATAAGAAGTAAGGAGGAATTAAAAAAAAAATACTTGAAACACCCTAATAAAGATATAATCCTGTACCTCCTAGACTTTTTCTGTGCTAAACAAAAGGCAATGCAAAAAAAAATTGGTTTCACAATTTTGTTTTACAACACTGTCTGAAACAGGTTTATCCATAAATAAAAAGTAATCTCTAGACTCACTCCATCTTCGAGTCTAAAGCCTAGTATTTGGGCTACAAAAATATGAAACGTGGTAGGCAGCGAATGAACTCTGGTGAGTTTACACTTAGTGAATAAGCTTTTCCCTACTCGTCAGTTGTTCTAAATATTTCACGAAAGCTCATATCACCTAGGAACAGTGCGGTGGTTGCTTCTGTGGTAACTTCATTGGGGTCGGCCCCAGCTTCCAGAAGAACACGAATACTTTCCAAAGACCCATGGAGTGCCGAAAGGTGCAGTGCACACATCCCTTCAAATGTCTTTGAATTTATGTAGTCATCAGATGGAGCTACAAATTAGAATAACAAAAAAAGGTATACTTGGCAATAAATTACAAGACAGTTATTTTCTTAAAATAATTAAGTTATTTGAGATGTGCGGGCTACAGCATATCCATGAATGTGCTGTTAGTCTCCTTCAAGCAGCAGTGTCAGTTATCGCTGGCCCTATGCAGACACCTGCCTTAGACAAAGAGGTAAAATAAACCCAATTGTCATTCAGACTACAACATGCCAGTTTCTCTTTACCATAGCTAGTCAGTATCCAAGAAACCACACAGAAATTTACAAAGCAATAAGAATATGATAATAAAAAACTATTTAATTTATATTTTATATGACAAGGTATTTTAGCAGAAAGTTGCACCATTTCACATCATATTTTCCTTACCTGCACGAATTAGCAGCCTCAGACATTCACTTGAATTGTGAGCTGCTGCTTCGTGGATTGGCACCCATCCCCTGTTATCTGGAACATCAATGCTGTATCCCTGCTTAATTAGTTTCCTCAGCATTTTAACATTTCCTTCTCTGGCTGCAAGCCCCACGGCAGAGCATCGATCAGAATAGGCCTCTGTGAAATCCATCCTTACCTATGGCAAACTCTGCAGGAGGAAGAGGAAAAAAGGGAAGGAGAGGAGAAAAACCAAAAAAATACCCCAAAACAACAAAAGAAAAGTATGCCTATTAGTACAGAATATGTATATGGGTTTTTCTTTTGGTTTGGGATTTTGGGTGCTGGTTTTTGGGGTTTTTTTCAGTGATTTTTGTTTGGTTTGGGTTGTTTTTTTGGGGGGAGAATGGTGTTTGTTTGTGGGGTTTGGGGGAATAGCTCCCCTGCCGCTACCCAGCGGCTCCCTGGGAAGCGGCCACAGAAGGCAGGGGATATTTTTT